CTGCGGGGAGAGCACGGCGCAGGCAGTGTTTTACCAACGCCGAATCACGGCGCAGCAGAGGCGGTTCTAAAGCAGCTCCCGCCAGAGCGGGCGAACGCTTCAGCAGGGTCTGAGCTAAGCAGTCTGGCTTGACGGGGAGGTCTCTCCCCTTCAGGAGAACAGCAGTTTATCTGTGACCACAGTTTAGGAAGTCTTACATACTACTGATTTCACTAATTAGCTCTTCAGCTTCTTACTAAGGACTGCAGAACTAATTTAATGACTTTCTTGGTCAGTGTGTAGACAATATTATTAAGCTGCTCGTGCTTGTGTAGCTCTTAGCTCCCAGAGGGACCACCCACGCCACAGGTCAGCCACACTCCGGGCTAGATGGAGTGTTCTGAGTTCCCAAGTCACGGCCAGAGTGGAGGAGCAGCGTCCTGCCAGGGGTGCTGACAGCCACCCGCATCCCAAACTCCCCTGAGAGGGGCTGGTGGAAGCAGCCCCAGCTCCACTCCCAGCACCGACCTCCATCTTTACCGTGGAACTGATCCAGTCCAAGGTGAAAGCTGTCAGTCACTAACAGCGCTTCCACCTTCTGCCTTGTTCTGAGTTCAGCTGTACGTAACTCAACTCGAGATGACTGGGATGGGAATTAACACTGCCCCACCGTACTTTTTGGAAGGGGAGTAATACACAGTTTCCTTAATGCCCGTATATTTATAACAAAAAAGTACTGCAGGCTCCTGCTGTCTGGTTCATTTGGAGACGAGCAGGATTGGGAGGAGCAAAAGAACCTTCAGAATCTCACCCAGCACCAGGGGCTGATTGCCTGCTTGAGTCAAACAAAGTCACAGTCTTACCTGAAGCACCTCCTTTTCTTTTGCAGCTGTTTGATTAAATAGCCTCAGTTCTTCTATCAGCTTCTCTGTTAACAGCTGAAGAGCCAAAAGGAAACCAGCTTAATAAAACACCAATAACTGCAAGTCTCAGCAGCTGTTTGCACAGCATCACTAGAGCAGGGCAGTAGCACGCAGACCTCTCAAAGCCCATTTACCTCCTCTCGCTGTTTCAAAATTTTATTACTGTTGTTTGCTTCTGGAAAAAAAACTTTTCTTCCTCCTCCAGAATGTTGCTGCCTGTAACTAATTTAGGAGATGTATTAGCAAACCCCTGACATACGGATAACTTTGCTTGCAAGAACTAACGGCTTTTCAAAGTAAATTTCTACAGCAAGAAAGACTAGATTATTTTCAAAGTGTATGCACAACTGGACCTACTACAGGAAGCACCTTTTTCTCTTAAACCAGGAGAAAAAACCAAAACCTCGCCTGGATTTACAGCAGTATTTCCTTAACAAGGAAGCAGAGTCCAAATGAACAGTCACAACAGGGGAAGGGGAAAAAAAAAGTGTTCTGGAAATGAGTACCGGAATGGTACGCGAAGTGCATAGTCCTTACCAGGATCAATGTTTCTGCTTTCCAAAATCATCATGCAAGTCTCCTGAAATTTCTTGAGCTTCTCAACTTCTTGTGCCAGGCCTTCGTTCTCCTCCTTTAACTCCTTTATAGTGCCCTGTCGTTAACACAGGTTGTAAGTGAATCAAGTTTCCAAGATTTTCTTCTCATTAGTCAGTAGCACTGAGTGTGACACTAACGGCTTAACAAGTGCTCCACTAGCACCAAGAACCAGATCTTGCCCTTCTGGCTCTACCACCACAGCAAATTAGCCTGCTGCAGACCCCTACTCCTGCTTCTTGACAGGATTAATACATTTATCACATCCACATGTCATAGCAATTACTAGAAAAATTTGATCCTAGAGCTAAATTCCTTTTAGGGATTCCTAGCATATCTCTTCTTGTGCTCCCTCTCATACATATAAATAATTCAAGAGTTTGATGCATTAAAGAGCACATAAACATTGGGAAGAAAAGGGCATCTTACAATCTTTAAGCCACAACATCACTCCCTACACAGCTCAGATATTACCAGGCAATCGGATAAGCCGATCAACCTCACAAGTCGAATGCAATTCTCCAGGAGAATCAATAAGCCTGTGGATTAGGGTGATCCAGCTGACAGCGTCAGAAGCTTTTTGAACATTTCATAGGAGGTCTGAAAGGCTCTTAAAGAAATCAAGCTGTGAGATAAGAGGAATGATCATCTCGCAGATTAGTAACTGGTTGAGAACTGGGAAATAAAGTGAGCTTTTACAACTGGAGGTTACCAGCAGGGCCTCTTGCACATGACAGAAATTGTGCTAAGTGTGCCCTGGAGGGATCTGTAAGAGGTGGTGAATAACAAGGTGCCAATTCTGTATCTAAATTTGATTCAAGAAAGTCAAATCTGTTTGAAATCCACTAAACAGTCCCAGCCTTTTCTCCAGTCCCTGAATCATCTTAGTGGCCCTTTGCTGGACTCTCTCCATGGCGTCCCTGTCTCTCGTATACCAGGAGCCCAGAACCAGAAACAATACTCCAGGTCTGGCCTCGCCGGTGCTCAGCAGATGGGGAAAAACTTGCAGAAGAATAAAAAGACAGTAAAAGAGCAAGCCACAATATGATACCGTAGCACATGAAGAAACATGAGCTGATATAAACTGAGCTCTGCATTAAATACTTAGAAGAGAGTGAGGTCACTGTCCCTCAAACTTAGTGCTCAGCAGTGACCAAAATCTGAGCAGAATGTTCTTCGTTACGAAAACAAGACCATACATGTTCCTGAACCCACATCTTCAATACTGTATGCACTTCCACACCACACTACGTGATGGGTTAGCAAAGCTAGGAGAGATTGGGCAAAAAGAACAAGGAAATTGATTAGCTCATCTACCGTATGCTAGGAGCTATGGAAGATCAAGAATTAATAGACCTCAAACCATCAGTGGCAAGTGATTATTTACAGCTTCTCTTGAGATAGCTAGGAAACATCTGGCAGTATCGAGGCTGTCTAAATAAAGTGTCATGCAAATGTATAGTTATGAACTTGAAATATTCTCCCACAATCAGTTTAAAATGGGATTAGAGCTCTGATGACTATTCAGCAGTGATCTGGATGCATTAACCATCCAAACCCATCTGCAGCTCCGCTGATTTCCAGGCTCTAGCAGATATCACGGGTGTCAGAGGAGAAAACCCAGCCCACCCAATCTCTACTGACTTCTGATGGAGACAGGAAAATGAGCAAGACAATCCTTTGATCTGACCCTGTAGGGATCAGAATATAAGAATTACTCAATGGTTTCTTTTTCTCCCCTTTCCTTACCTGTGCTCCTGTTAGTCTGGAATGTAGCTGTTGTTTGGCTGTTTCTAACAGCTGATTCTTGGTCTTCAGCTCTGCTTCTAGTTTGTATCTGTTCAGAGGTCTGTAGAGTCAAAGATTGGGGGCAAAAATATCGGTATTACACACCTGCTCTTTTACTGCCACGAATATGCCCTTTTTTGAAGCATTTGCTCTTGTTTCTGACCAAGAGCTTTAATCGGCAAACTTGGCAAGAAAGCTGTACGTGGGTGAGAGCTCACCACGACCCTCAGAGAGGGAACACTACTGCGCGAGGGCAACTGATAGAGATTCGAGGAAACATACCCTCTTGTAGCTGTCTTCTTCGAAAGTGGTTCCACTTTCTTGGCAGATTTAGGCAACCTTAAAAGATAGGTAAAACACAATTACCAGAAGACCACTGCATTCTTGCAGATTACCAAGTCTGTTAGTTTGACAAAATCTGCCAAATGCCAAGCCATCTTTAGGACATTTGCCAAGCGATAAATGCATCAGTATTTCGCTTCCATTTACCCTTGGTTTGTGGCTTTGAAGACACCATCTGCCGGAACGTTTGAGCTGAAGTTAAAATTGGGGTCTTTGCTGAAGTCTAGATCCGCTGCTTTGCTGACGCATTGTTTCTTTGAAGGAAAAGCCATCTGTGTTTCTGCAAGAAAAAGATGACAATGAAAACACTACAGTATACAAGGGATCACCATAATACGCAGAACTGCTGGATCTCTTAAGCCTTCAGTTTGAGGTAAATCTCAATTACATCTGGCTAGAATGGAGACTTTAAGGTAGGGACAACTAAGGGCAGTCTTCAAACCTTACACAGGATTAAGGGCCCAGAACAAGCCGCAGATAGCTCAGATGAGAAACAGTATTAGAACACAGTTACCAGGCTAGCACTAATGAGAGAAAGTTTGAAAATGGCAATACAGGCACGATACTAAAGGAAGCCTCAACATCAAGCAGACAGCATGCCACAGTGTTCCAAGCAAAGCTGCTCAGTACTGGAAGCAAAACACACACAGCCCACTTGAAACTCTCAGTTAGGAGACCTTCATATATCAATTCACTATGCGTAGATATGCTTTTAAAATAACACTATAGAGAACTAGCTTCCTATGTAAAGTTTATTTGGCTTTAAACCACAGCTGTTTGAGTAGATAAAGCTGTGTTCACACAGGGGGTTCAGGAGGCTTTTTTTCCTCCCCCTCCCAAGTCAAGTCTATCTCAAACGACGCACCCACAAGCACATTCATGCTAGAGCAACACGGGGGCTCACAGAATCACAGAATAGTAGGGGTTGGAAGGGACCTCTGTGGGTCATCTAGTCCAACCCTCCTGCCCAAGCAGGGTCACCCAGAGCAGGGGGCACAGGACCTTGTCCAGGCGGGGCTGGAAT